ACTCAACGAAGCGCAGAAGCCAATAGAGGTCAGGCTTTCGCGAGTGAAACAGTTTGACAATGAGCTCTCAGCTTGGAAGTCACGGTTGCCGCGTTACCTGCGGTTCGACGTCGTTCACGTTTTTGACAATTCGCCGCATTTCAAGAGGCAGAGGAACATGCTTGCGATCAAATACCATCATCTCCGGGCTCTAATGCACCGGCCCTACCTCAGCCTGCCCGCTGCAAACGGCTTCATGGCCGAGTCCTTGACGGATCATCAGATCAGAGCAGTGCACGATTACAGCCAAACATGCATATCTGAGGCACGCGAGACGGCGCGCCTGTTCCACAACGTGCAAGACGAAGTCCAACTTATTTACGACTATCCTTGGTGGCAGTTGATCTCGTGTGTGGTATGTGCAGCCTCGATTCTGATTGTCGCCGGCACCTTTAAGCAGATGGGCGCCGAGGTTACCGAGGCCGGTGGGTTATGCGACGATGCGGAAACGTGCTTAAAGGTTCTCGGCGCTCTGAGTTCGCATTCAACTGGCGCAAGGCATGCGCGACACATGGTAGCGAAACTCCTTTCTCAACGCTTGTCGTACATCAGTCAGTCATCCCCAGAGGACTCCAGGCAGCCCCTCCGCCTTGGGGAACTTTCCAAGGCGTCGCAGCCTGGCAACATGCCGCGCCTTAGCAGACAGACTCTCGCGTCCGTTGACACGACGCAACTCGAGACGGCAAATACGCACGGGAATGCTCCGTATGCGGAAGGATTGACGTTTCCTTGGCTGCAGACGGATGATGATTTGCCAGCGGAGTTTGACACTGGTCTTTCATGGCCATATGGGACGTTGGACTCTATGGCATGGTCGAGCCAGGTGCTAAATTCGATGATGACATCGGTAGACTGTTATGTGCCGGCTCCTCCTGGACCACACGACGGGTTGCGGGACGGGACGGACAGTCCGCAATTGTGACGAACAACTTTGTCTGGCTTCCGACTGGTGTACTCTCACCACTTAAATTGACACCAGCAGAAAGCCTCCTGATTTACCGTGTTGTTGGCACGGTCCGCTCGTGCTTCCATATCCGTATTTTCGTCTTCTTGGATCATAGCAGTCTCATACTAGGTGGCTCGGCGGGGAGCCGGGATGATTCATGAAAGTCATCACTCGACTGAGACGAAAAAGACCTTCACCGTTGCAGGAGGATCCCCTTTCGCACACCTGCAATCATGACGTACACTATCAAGCCTCCCTTCGATGTCTGAACTAACTAAGTGGCGTCGATCTGTCATTAAAGAACAACATGACGAAGCCTTTGGCTACGATGCATATATGTGTAGCTTCCCGCAAATTCATCGCCTGTATTTCTGTGTTCGATAACTCAGCTCAACTAAATCTCCAGCTGCAAGATCTAAGAAAAAAATGCCGACTCTTCTCCGAACCCGTCTCTCGTCTGTGGCTCGAAGCCCACTGACCCTGCGCTCTCTTATAATCCGCCATTACAGTTCTGCAGACCCGGCAAAACAGCCACTCAAAGGGGGCCCCATCCAAACCGAGACGGACAAGAACAAGTGAGTGTGTATTCTCCAACCATATATGCTACTCCGCTAATAAGTGCTTCCCCACGTTCTCTAGAGTCAGCGACAAGAACATGTATGTCTTGGGTATGGTTGGATTAGCACTGGGAGGCACTCTCGCTTGGATGATGAATAACCAGAGACTTGCTGGAAAAGTCCCTGAATCGCTTCCCGAACCAACTGTGTCGGAGAATCGGTTCGAGGACAAGAATAAAAAGGTTCTTGGGAAGGAGAAAACCTGAAATGGACGGGACATGGGGTAGTTACACGGGTCCAGTCATTATGGAACGAGTTTGAGACATTGCTAGCCTACTGGCATCAAGACGAAGATGATCCTTAACATTGTATTCGACTTTGTAGTTGGGCTTACGCCGCTCATCGGTGACTTGGCTGATGCAGTCTTTCGCGCCGACACCGCAACGTGATAATACTGGAGGACTATCTTCGTGAAAAGAGTGACGCAAAGATAGAGAGCAAACAACTTCACGAATACGCAGAAGGTACCCCCAACGAACCTGCCACTTTTACCGATATCGCACCTTTTAATACCAGTAGCTGCTAAGAAGCATGGAATCAATAAACGTCTCCATCTCAAGTCGACTTCCTCGGCGCAACATGGCTACACCTAACAGGGCTCTCATCGTCGGCACTTTGGCGAACCCCTACGTAACGTGTCGTGCGAAATATCCATCGGCGATGTACCTATTCCTGACATTCTTTGTACCAAGCCCGCCTTACTGTCGTTCGAAAGACGCCCTCCACCTAGAAGCATTCGGTGCAGAGAAGACCCAATGTTGCACACGCGGCCCAATCCCTTCACTTCACTTACCGTTCAATTACCCCCCACCGTGACCGCAGCTGGCCATTGACCGTTGATGATCGTCTCGGTGCTGCATCACCCGAGTCGCGGGGTACCGGGAATGCGGCCCTACAGCCCGGCCATACGATAGATGATAGATGCTTAAAGACGACGTCTTCTGCCATCTAACCATGGCCATTTCATAAGTAGAACCGTGACTTTCCCCTCAAAAACCGAATACATCATGCTCCACCAAAAGGAAAACCGCCTCGTCTACGCCTTTGATGCCGAACAGGTCTGGGTTGAACCATGGGGTCCCAATGCCGTGCGGGTCCGGGCCTCAAAGATGGGCTATATGCCCTCGGAGAATTGGGCTTTGGACGGAGAAGCTCCCTCCAGCAGCCCAGATATTTCCATCCAGAAGACCTCGGGCACGCTCACCAATGGCAAGATCAAGGCCGTCCTCAGCTCCGGAGGCAAGTTGACCATTTGGAACTCTGACGGAAAACTGCTTCTCGAAGAATACTCTCGCAATCTTCACGACTTGACAGACCCCAAGGTCAGCTCGCTGAACCTCGATGCTCGCGAGTTCAAGCCTCTTCTGGGCGGCGACTATCACCTCACGGCGCGGTTCGAGAGTCTGGATCCCAATGAGAAGATCTACGGAATGGGTCAGTACCAGCAGCCGTACTTGAACATCAAAGGGGCGCAGATTGAGCTGGCTCACCGCAACTCTCAGGCCAGCGTCCCCTTTGCCGTGTCTTCTCGGGGCTATGGATTTCTCTGGAACAACCCAGCGATTGGCAACAGCATCTTTGGGAAGAACATTATGAGCTTCGAGGCACTCTCAACCAAGGCTCTCGACTACTGGGTTGTTGCCGGAGACACGCCCGCTGACATAGTTCAAGCTTACGCGGGCGTGACGGGAACAGTTCCCATGATGCCCGAGTATGGTCTTGGATTCTGGCAGTGCAAGCTTCGATACCAAACTCAGGAAGAGCTCCTCGAGGTTGCGCGAGAATACAAACGACGAGAACTGCCCATTGACCTGATTGTCGTCGACTTCTTCCACTGGCCAAAGCAAGGTGACTGGAGGTTTGACCCGACCTACTGGCCAGATCCAGGTGAGTGTCCACAAAGTACAGCCATGTCCAGTGCAGTGCTCACTCTTCGTTATAGACGCCATGATCAAGGAACTCAAAGATCTCGGCATCGAGCTGATGGTCTCTGTCTGGCCCACCGTCGACAAGCTCTCGGAAAACTACGAAGAGATGCTCGAAAAGGGCTTCCTCATCCGAACAGACCGCGGCGTTCGCACGGGGCTCAATTTCATGGGGGACACCATCCACTACGACACCACGCACCCAGGATCGCGCGCCTACGTCTGGGAGAAGTGCAAGAAGAACTACTTTGACAAGGGCATCAAGGTCTTCTGGCTCGATGAGGCAGAGCCCGAGTATCGCGTGTACGACTTTGACAATTACCGGTACTACCGGGGCCCCAACGTCGAGATTGGAAACATCTATCCCCGCGAGTACGCTCGCGGTTTCTGGGAGGGCCAAGCCAGCGAGGGCCAGACCAACATTGTCAATCTCCTGCGCTGCGCTTGGGCTGGTAGCCAAAAGTTCGGCGCCCTTGTCTGGAGCGGCGACGTGGCGTCCTCGTGGCCGAGTTTCCGCGCACAGCTCGCCGCGGGCCTGAACATGGGCCTCTCTGGGATCCCGTGGTGGACGACAGACATTGGCGGGTTCCACGGCGGCGACGGACGAGAGGCCGATTTTCGCGAGCTGCTGGTTCGGTGGTTCCAGTGGGGAGCCTTTTGTCCTGTGATGCGTCTTCACGGGAACCGGCTGCCGCAGCAGCCGCAGCACGGCACGACAGGTGGCGCCGAGTGTGTGAGCGGTGCGCCGAATGAAGTGTGGTCGTACGGCGACGAGGTTTACGACATTTGCCGCAAGTACATGGCAATCCGAGAGGAGTTGCGAGAGTACACGCGAGGGTTGATGAGGGAGGCTCACGAGAAGGGTTCGCCGTTGATGCGGACGCTGTTCTACGAGTTCCCCGACGATGCTCGAGCGTGGGAGACTGAGGAACAGTACATGTACGGCGACAAGTACCTCTGCTGCCCGGTGCTAGAATTGGGAAAGCGAGACATGTTTGTGTATTTGCCCAAGCTGGCAGGGAGTGCCAAGTGGAAGCTGTTCCAGGGGGAGGAGGAGTATGAGAGTGGGCAGACGGTCAAGGTTGAGTGTCCGCTGGATACGATGCCTGTGTTTGTTCGGCAGACATGAAAAATCAGTTCCAATTTCAATTTTCAAACTATGGTAAGACAATTAATGCTTTCTCCATGTATAAAATTACTGATGAATTGGAAACTGAAGGAGAGACTCTCTATTGTCACTTACACGATGTGCATCGATGTATTTCTATGTGGTCTACTACCACGAAGAAAAGTCAAACGCTTCAGCGAAATGAGAAAACCTATACCAGTTGAGATCTCCAGTAAATACTCGAGTTTATGTTAGAGCTTTCTTTACCTGTTATGCTCCTCTTGTGCTCTGCTGCCGGGCACTTCCCTTGTCCATCGTGCGCACAGGGTACATAAACCATTGGCTCTTCGTCCCTCCCAACAAATGGCCCAATAGTACAATGGTTAGTACGCCACTTTCCGGAGCAGGAATTAGGTGGAGATTCTAGGTTCGAGTCCTAGTTGGGTCGATTTCTTTTTTTGGATATTTGTATACATTCTGGTCTCCTTTTATTATATATATTTATCATAAAGATTTTTAATTTGTCAAGTTGACACATATAGAGAGATCTCCAGTTCCCAACATGAGACAGCGAGAAACCCAGACCGGCACCAGAGCAGACCCGCGTAGTAACATGGAGGGGGCAGACTTTGGCCCATTTCCAGCCGTTGGATTCGGGGGGAGGATAGTTGTTGCCATACTACACGCACTCGCTCCTCCCCAGCCCTCCTACAATCGGACCGTAACTCAAATTCAAGCATGACCCAACCCGGATGCGTGTAAGGACTTCAAGTTTCGCGGTCGTGTCATCAACGTCCAGAAGCAAGCAAGGCGGCTGTTAAAAATACACTAGGATGCCATCTGTCATGGGGGCTGAGCGAAGCTGCAGCTTCTTGGGCGAATAGCGCTAGTTCTAGCTTGGAAAACCTCTGTGAGAGACTTGCTTGGAAAGCCAATGTGAGAGTTACTGTGAGAGACCTTCTTAGAAAGACATCAGAGTTATTAGAAGGCTCCTGTAATAGCTGCTGTGACGGCTGCGACGACGGATGCTGTGATGGCTGCTGTTGCGATAGCTTCATGTGACAGCATCTATTCTGTGACCAGAGAGAAAGGCGGTGAGCATTGGGAGCGGCAAAAAGAGTCAATTGCCACTCGGTATTCGCTCGTTTGTGTCGGGTGATCGTGGTGGCTGGTCAAGTGGTGGAAAGAATGCACTGAATTTGCTGAGATTTACGTTATCCGGCACTCACACAATTGGCTGCTACCTCACCGAGGGTCCCGTCCATTTGTGTCGCAGCCCAGGTACCAACATATACCTTATTAGGCGACATTTGCCGCTGCTGGGTGGTGATGCAGGGATAGACTACGGGTTGGAGTCCGTTTAAGTTGATCCTTTGGAGCCATCTGTTAGTGTTACTGGAACTGGGTCTCTGGGCCACACCAATAGTACACGAACTGTTCTGGCTGAACCGCCGACAAAACTGACGCATAATCTATCGTACAAGGAATTCCCACGCAAAGCCATTCATGGAGAGGTAGCTGAGACAAGAAAACGCACATAAACAAAGAAGAGAGTTGGGGAGGTGGCGCGATAGTCTGTGTTTGCCCTGAGAATACACATCCTTAAAGCTCTTTGGACATGGCGACTGTCTCATTTCTCACACTATACCTTGCTCATATCTCAACATCACACAGGAGAACTTCAACTTCATCAGATAAGAAACACACGCGTTTTAAATCAGCAACGGAGCAACGCCGTGGATTTTGTCTATCCTCGTCTAGATCCGTTCATGAACACATCATGAGCCCAAAATGAGATCCGTCAAAGAGCAGAAGCCGGATCCATCGGCAACAGCAAACGCTTTTAATCGTAACCACAAAAAAAAAAGGAAAAAGAACCGTCGTATCGACAAACGCATGCCATCAATCATATTAGCCGCATTATTCTCAGCAGAGACTATCGAAGTCCTGCTCAAACCTCCTCGTCTTCTACCCATGAGTCGATGAATCGCTCATCCTATCCACGGTGCCTTGGTATCTCAACCAAGAATAGAAGATCGGGAGGTTTTTTTTCAAGGTACCCATTTGAGGTTCGCCTTTCCCGGTAAATCGAGGGGCCTCTACGCCGTGCTAGCTATGAAAGAAGGTTCGCTGAACCATGAAACGAAAAAAGGAAATGTCAAATGAATGGAGTCGTTCAGTGGTGAGGCCAGGGATAGCACTGCCATGCAAGCTATGCCGTCCTCACACGTAATGTGGCCGGTGAAGTCAGTGCTTCGCTGTCGCATCATATGCGCAGGAAGTTCACGTCTGAGATGCTTCGGTGCCTCTTGTGGCCGTTGTCGGCTTCGTTAGAGGCCTTGCGTTTCGTCGACATGGTCTCTAGAGGGCTTCGAGTGAGATCGCTCATCTGTCGTTTATGGCGTCTCATGGGAGTCAGGGGCACGGTGGCAGTATCAAACCGGTCCGACTTTAGTCCCTTGAGAGCAGTGTAGTTGTAGGGTCCACTAAACGCAAGCGAATCTTGGGTAGCCTGGTTACTAAGGATGAGCTGCTGGTTGATCTGGTTGCGACGGAACGCGCCAACAGTCTCTGAATTGAGATGTGACAAGACGTCGCAGTCGCTCGAGGCAGTGCTGGGTCGAACAGGGGTTGATGTCGGATTCCATGTGCCTTGATCCTCATCGCCTGAGGAATCATCGTCGTTCCATGTGATGAAGTCATCAATGTCGAGCTTCTTCTCCTCTTCGTCCTCTTCGCCTTGCAAGCTAGGCGCCGTAGAACTTTCATCAGCGGTGTTGGCCTCGGAGGGAAAAGTGAAGAAGGCTTCGGCAGGACCCACGGCTTGGGTGTTGATGAAGTCGCCGAAAGAATTGGAAGAGAACATGGCACTGAGCATCACGTTTGCCGAGTTGCTCATGATGGGCGAGGCATGGTTCTCCATTGACCATGGCCCCGAAAACTTCTCTGGAGACAGATCGAATTGTCCTGGCGACAAATCGAACTGTCGCCGTCGGCCAGGAGTAAAGATGATCAACTTCTTGGTAGTTGGGTGAAGAACAGCGATGGGCTTCTGATCAGATCGGTCCAAGTTGAATTTCCCAACGCGTGGCATGCCACGCTGCCGCTGTGGCTTCACAGGGCTATCGGCCTCGGAATCGGAAAATCCATCACCGGGATTGGAAGGCCGACGAGTCTTTCTACGAACAAGAGGTTCGGGGATGTCTTCTTCGGTAGTGTCACCATCAGCTGGAGGAGAAAGGTTAGCACCGACGGGGTTAAGCTTCCCATAATAGCCCACTCACTCTCATAGCCATCCAGCTCCTGTGGCTCTTCAAAAGCGGGCACAGGAGTAGACGCAACAGTGTTGAGCTGGGAAGCCAGGGGTGTGGCAGTTGGAGTATCATCATCAGACAGGTGCCGAACAACCTCTTCGGCATCCGAATCAGGCTGCTCCTCATGTGTGTAGTTGTAGTCCCAGAAGGAACCAGAACCAGATGACTCATCAGGATCGTTCTCAATCTCGCGACGGAACGCGGGGTCGAGCGCTGTCTGAGAGACAAAGATGTCAGGGAAGAGATCGGCATGGTCATCCTCAGTATCGGTCGAGTCGGAATCACTCGAGGGCACGTCAAAATGAACGTGTCGCTCCTCACTGGCGTTGAATTCCAGAAGCTCCTCATTCAAAAAGTCAGAGAGGTTGCCTTCTTCAACCCCAGAAAGGATGCCAGCCCAACTGCCGTTGTCGTCGTCTTCTTCTTCATCATCGTCGACAGCGGCACCGGCGTCTTCGTCTTCTTCTTCGTCGTCGTCGTCATCGTTATCATCTTCTATGTCCTCAAAGAGAGGTCGCGGCCGAGGAGCGGTAGGGGTTGGGTGTGCTTCCTCAAGAATGTTTTCCTCCTCGGCCGCAGCGACATCTTCCTCGTCGTCGTCTGAGGAGTCGCTGATGTCTTCGACAGCTGAATAACCGCCTTCGTCCGAGAGGTCGATGGAGGACTCAGAGGTTTCTGAGACCCGGCGGCGCCGCTTGGTCGCCTTGACCGGGGTGGAGGGGAATTTTCGTCGAACGTTGCGAGACATGTTTGTTGTAGCCTTTCAAATACGAGTTTTAGAGGACCGGTGTCTAATTAGAGCAATGGTTTCGACTTTATAATGGTAGTAGTGCTTATACCAGAATGATGTATTCGCAGTGGTGACTCTGGGATCAGAGATTTCGTCTATCGTTGTTTGGGGGAGGCGAAACAAAGGCGCTGATGTTATATAGAAGTTCCCAGTGGCTGATAAGAGTAGTCGGGGCAGAAGGTCAAGGAGAGACGAGAGGTAGCACAGAGAGGTATGTAATGGGAGGGGAATGTGGTAGAGTATGTGGTTAAACGGCCCTTCGCGGTGATGGGCAAGTCGCAGGATCGTGGATTTCAGGGACAAGCTTTCGGTGAGCTATGCAGCTCAAGAGCGGGAAAGCCTGTGGTGAAACTGAATCGAGTGGTGGATTGATCGTGTGGTAAATCGAAGAACTGCTGGACTGCGGACCGTGGCCTGGAGAAATCAGTGCCACAGCCCGCAGTGGGCGTTTACAGCTCAGCGACGGCCGAAGGCATGATGACTCGACAAAGTTTCGGTAAGGGATGTCCTCTGATATGGGGATACTGGGTAATTGCGACTTCGTTGTCTGGGGGTTAAATTTGGTTGGTGGTGACGGGAAAAGAGAGGACGAGAAGACAGAGCGAGCGGAGGAGGAAGAGATATATCCCAACTTTTTTCTCCACGGGTGGGGGCCACTCGTGATTGGCTGCAGATGGAGTCAAGTTGATTGTGCACCCATGCTACGTACTTCGTACCTGCCCTCCTCCGCCGACTCCACTCCCTGCCCGCCTAGGGGGTGGCAGCAATGTGCACCTAGGCACTGCAGGGGACCACACCCCTGTGGGAAATCGGCCGTCAGTGGCAGTCCAGTGGCCCTCGCACTAAATCTTCCAGCGCCTCTGAGTGCCAGATGACGGAGAGTCAACCCCACCACAAGGCGCTAGGCCATTTCGGGGCCGCTGGAACGTCGTCACCGCTCTTTGGAGCTATGATTTTGGCTCCTGCGAGGCGTCAAAAAGAGTCACAACAGCAGGCAGAGACAGTCATCAATCAGAACGTCTCAGGTCTTGAGACGTGTCGTGTTATAGGGAGGGTTGGTCTGGCCTCTGTTTCGCTCGCTACGATGCAGGGCGAAGGACGCGAAATGCGCACAAGTTTTAAAATTTTCTATTTGCCCGATCTATCGGAGGATTGGTAGCGAAGGGGTTCGCTATGCGGCCTCGGTTGTATCCGTACGTACGATATCCCTGGGTCTATTCAAGGGTCCTGGTCTGATTTACCATTTGGGTTAGAATAGCCTCTGAATAAGGCCGGGGAAAGATTGGATGTCAAGGCATATTTCTTTGCACTGGGAGGTTCAATGATATCAGCATCATCATGAGT